GGGGGGGGGGGGGGGGGGGGGGGGGGGGGGGGCGGGCTCATGTTTTGCATGTCTTAGCGGTTAGCCCATTGCCACGTGTCCTCGAGAGGACGGCACATGCAACGGAGGGGGGGGAGGGGATGGGATAGTGGGCGCAAGAAATGTACGTGTTGGTTTTTGCTTGCGTTGTGACTAGTTGACAGCGAAAATCTTGAAAAAATGAGCGTTGTTCCTTTCCGTCAAGTAGAGAGAAGACCTCTGACGTCCTCAAGTTCAACAAACGATTTTGCTAACCCAACTCCAGCTTTTACAGCAAGACATCAGAAGGCCTCAAGCGTTGAGGGATACGAAGAAAATTATTGGAAAACGCCGCAGAGTTTGGAGGAGGGATGTCCAGGTATTGACCACCAGTATCATCAGCGCCAAGCGTCTGCCTCAGGTAATTGGCAAACACGTATGGCGCTTCGTCTAATGGTAACAAATCAGAGAGGCATGTGTAGCCATGGCTTTACCCAAGCGGATAGCGCAAACGGCAAGAACGTACGACGCTGGTGTTGGTTCGTCTAGCAAATAAAAAAAGGGAGTTGTTTCTCACCCCATGTGTTTCTTACCGATAGGCAAAAAAAACAACAACTCACGGTTCCGTTGATGGTCTTGTCCGGACAGACAGAAACGCTGGAGCACCGCCCGCAGTCGACCCCTTCCCATCCCTCCGGGCAATCGCAGAAGGAGCAGCTCATTTCTCCCGCAGTCCTGTCGCCGATGTGGAGAGTGCCGTTGTTGACGCAGACGGGGTTCTCGTACAGAAAGGCGTTCGGGCAGGCTAATTCCCGCGGAAGCGCGACAGACGACAGGGAGGGACGGCAAGTCGAAGATTTGGTTTTGTTGGTATTCATTTTTGTGGACTTGGCTTGACGGTCTGTTGTCGTTGTCGGAGCAGCTCCTCATGGACCTAAGGGTATCAACTCGTTTCGGCGCAGCAATTTGCCTACAACGTTTCTACATACTGACCGAGTTTCAGTCCGTTTGGTCCTGTTGAAAGCTTCAACGAATGAGAAGCTGTGCCTTATGATCTAACGGCGACGTGCCACGGCTGTATGTTGGCAGCAGTAACCGATATCATATGCTACGTTTCGCCCGGAGTTTCTTTCTTGTTTGCTTGTTTCTTGTCCCATCATTGGACTCTGTCGTCTGCCCCTCTGGCCCCCTCCACTTCTACCAGCTAGACGACCCAACCGGAGTCACATAGGAAGGGCGGGTTGGACCCCCTCCTGCGGTTCGGAGTGTAGAGGTAGGGAATACAAAGGAGTCGCAGGAGGTATTATTACCGCGAGAAAAAAAAAAAAAAAACGTTTCGGCCTTTTCGCTGTAGTCGGAATCTCTAGTGTGATCCCGGTTGACACATCAGGTATATGTATACATCGAACGGTCTGTGAAACCAACGCCAGAATAGGTGGGACGACGATCACACCCACATGAGAGGCAACGATCCCCACGGAATGAAAAAAGAAAGCAAAAAGACACCTTTGAGGAGCTGTTGCCGTCGTCTGCAGGACTCGAACCTGCGCGTGACTTCACAATAGGTTTCTAGTCTATCCCCTTAACCACTCGGGCAAGACGACTTGCTGATGCTATGTGTAGGAACCGCCCGAGCTTTTGATGCCGAAGCAATAACGATCGCGGTTAAGCACCCGAAAATGTCTTGGGTCATGAACGAGGCTGTCTACGGCTGGCTTCTGCTGCAGCAGAGGAAAGGACCACTGCGTAGACAGGTCCAAAACGGGGCGACAACACTTTTTTTTGTTTCGTGAGCATCAACATCCAAACAAGCGAACCACAACATACAATATCAAACCTACCATATAAATAGATAATACGACAGCAGTACACTCGATACCCTTGTGGAGAGGCGTACATTCTCCCCAATCGATTCATTCTTTGTTCACATGGGCATCGACGAAGGCAAACAAAGTGCCTTCCTTGGGGCACGGCGGGAGATAATCCGGGTTCGATTCCCGCCACCCACTATTTCCTTCTTGCATTTATCCAAACGCAACGCCAAAAACGATCACCGCTGTTTTTTTTTGGGAGGGGGGGTTTGAACAACGAGTCTCAGGAACACACCGGCGCCACACCAGCCACGTCACTCGTACCTCTAGCCGCTTGCCAGCCGGGCATCTCCGTACTACCTCTGCCAACAACGGATCCGTTGGTTATTGCACATATTTGGGGTACACCAGAGGTCCCTGTTAATGACCGCTAAAAGGCCCAAGGTCAAACCCGCGGGGCATACATTGGGCACCCGGCACTATTCAGAGTGGGAGACACCTTGAAAATCTCGTCTGTGCCATGCGATTTTACCGGCCATAACAGAGGGCAACTGGCCTAAATAAAGCGGCCTTGAACAGCGACCTCTGCTGTACTCTGCACTCGATACTGACCTGCAGGGATTCTGAGGGTTACGTGGATGTGAGTGTGGTACCCCCCCCCCCCCCCCCC